ATTCCTATTATATAACAATATCTTTTAAAAGGGTAAGAATCCTCACATCCTTTGGTCATGAATAAAATAGCCTCAATACAGTCACAAAAAATGTCCACAAAATGTATGCCTTCAGCCTATCAAAGATTCAACCTATTGATAATTGCAAGGAGCTCGCAACTAGAGTTGGTACATTAATAAGTTTCACATTGAACCCCTTAATCCAATTATCATGAGCATTGCTAATATATCCCCCATGATCGCTACTACATTCATGATAATAAAACCATCTACTTTCAATTGATAGTCATTATTTCTATCCGAGAAAATTACCCGTGAGCGTTTGGCCTCAGAGGACAAAGAAGGGGCTAACCTAATAAGATTTGAATCCGAGCAATCTCTAAAAAAGATGAAATTTTCCAGGACTTATTCCTGAGGTACATCCTTATCAAATACATGCTTACACTAGTCCACCCAAATATCCCATCAAATATAACTAAATAGCATTAACCATTGTACCTTTCTCGTGAATCCCTTGCTTGCTTCATGCTTTAAGTGTCAAAACAAATTAAAGTAGGCACCTCTGCTTCTGACAGAAGAGGAGGAGGAGGAGGAAGATTCGAAAAAAAGAGGCAAGAAAAGAGAAAAGGAGTTTCTAAGTGGTTTTTTATTTTGTAAATTATGGATATTTTAAGCAATTCATTCAAAATTTTATTTGCAATTAAGTTGCTAACAACCTCACAACCATTATACATTTGACATGGGACTTTATTACGATTTTTCCATGTTTTTATATAAAAATATGAGAGAATTACAAGCAAGTCCCACACACAAAAATTAAATGTTATGATGTTTATTGACAATTGTACTAAACTCATTAAAATAAATTGTTAATGGATAGTAATTAAATTTTTTAATGATAGTTAGTTTAGTTGTTAATGGATCATGTAATAATTAATTTCTTTATGTAAGACTTCAATATAATTCTTTCAAAATATATTAATTTTTTTGTCAATATAAAAATATATTAATTACCATCTAGATTCTATAAATTGTTTTATAAATGATAAAATAAGGTAAAAAAATTAATCATGATAGCTTAAAATTAAATATAACCTTAATTTCCTTTTCCATCTTTTCTTAAAAAAAAAATCTTTACAGAAAACGAACATTCTCAGGAGGAAAAAGAAAAGAAAGAAAGAAGATAATTTTATTGAAAAAGAAAATAAAAGAAAGAATGTTATTGCAAAAGAGAAATTGAAGGGTTGTCGAGTTGTGACAACTCATAGATGATATTTATGATATCTCAATGCCACATCCCATATTTGTTTGCCACTTGGAAAGTTTTCTAAAACTCATTTCCTTGAGTCAGCATCGCAGGGATGGTTTTGCTGTGAGTTGAAAATGTTAGGAATTAACTTGGCAATTTATGCATAGTGTAGAGACGGAGTCCAAATAAATTATAAGGAAAGGGACCTACTTTAAAATCAACGTGAACTGTGAGGACCAAAACATTATTTTTCCTCTTTTAACCTTTTTTTTTGAGCCAAAATCCTTTTTTAATCTTTATTATCTTTATTTAATTTTTGAATATTACGAGCTATAAGTTATTATTCTTAAAACAATATTTTTATTATTCATCAATATATATTGACAAATCTTATAAAATGACATTCTATTGATCAAATTTTGAACCTTGTCATTGATCGTTTTATCTTGATTAAAATTTAGTTATCTTCTCCCATTAGTTCAATCAACTGTGGCCTAGCCTATTTTCAATTTTAAATTCTGAACTGTAATTCACAACTTAGACAGGAGCGTTAATTGACTTCGTTTTTCCCTTTCATGATCCGTGTCTGTTGTATTTCCCTATATATTTGGTTTTTCTTTTCAAGGCATTTTATCTTATCATCAATATTATCACCAATCAATATATATATATATATATATATCTTGTAGCTTCAATCTAATTGGCAAAAAGAATTAACTCTCATTGATTAATAGATTTTAGATTAATATTAATATGAAAATTTCTCTTGATTCATTAATGAGATTTAATTAACTTTTTTTTATGTATTTTCAGTCTACTTTCACGGGAGTATTTAATGAATTTAATTTAATTTTTTATTTTTATATATTTTTATTTTAGTTTCATGAGAGCATTGATTTAAGAGCAATCCCATTTTCTAAAAAAAAAAAATTTGACTCTCATTGGTTAATAGATTTTAGGTTCAATTCTCTCTGCTATCTCGATGTAGCTTATGTAGATTGCGATGTTGCCTATTTCTATTTGTAAGGATGTCGAGAAGATTACTCGTAACTTCCTTTGGGGCTCTATTGAACAGAAAAAGAGAATTCATGCTGTGGCTTGAGATGGAGTTTATACTAACAAAAGGAATAGGGGCCTGGGGATCCAAAAGATGCAATCTCAAAATTAGGCTTTTTTAATGAAGATTGGTTGGGGACTTATAAAAAATAAAGAGGATCTTTAGGCAAGAATGGTTAGAAGTAAATATAAGTGTGGTTCAAATACTATTCCAAAGATTGAAAAGAAACACCCTAGTTCACGCTTGTGGAGCAGTATTAAGAAAACTTGAGATCTCTTACACTCTGGAGTTGAACATTGTATAAGGCAAGATGGTACAGAAATTGTTTGTTGGAAGCATGAAAAACATGGTCAATTTATAGTCAAATTGTCATAATCGTTAGTTGAGAATGAAGTCCCTTCTCAAACCTCGCTCTGATCTAAAATGTGAAAATTGGTTGCTCCCCAGTGGTGTAAGAATTTCCTCTGCTTGGTGCTTGATAATCATCTCTTGACAAACACAGAGAGAGTCCAAAAATGCATGACCGATAGTGCATTGTGTTCAGAATCCATGAGGGATGATGAGGATGCTCTTCACGTTCTTAGAGATTGTCCTGGTGCTTGTAAATTTAGGGAGAAACATGTGAAACCTGAGTATGTGAGATGCTTCTTTACTATAGAGAGGTGAGACTGGTGTAAGCTTAATCTTACAAAGAACGTGGGGTGGATAGGGGAGAGCAAGGACTCTTGGTTCACTACTGTATGCTGGCTTCTCTAGCAAAGATGAAATGACCATATTTTCCAAAATAAGGAGGGACTTTATGAGTCTATCAGTGTGCATACATTGGCTATTCTTAAGTGCATACGAAAAACAGGATCAAGAATTCAATAGAATTGTCTCATGAGCAGAATACATCTCAAGAGGTGTGTTAGAATAGTTCTGAGATTTTGAAAGTGTTTGTAGATGGAGCTTATTCAGAGATGGTAGATGCCACTGGTTATGGGGGTAACCTAAAGGATTAGAAAGGGATGACAGTGGGATCTTTTGTGTATTGACTCCAAGATATGGATGCCCCTGCTGTAGAATTGTAGGCATGTTCTACAATATTGAAGTACACTTGGGATAGAGGTTAGAAAAATATCATTATCGATAATGATTCCATCGAAGCTATTACCTTAGAGATCAGGGAGTTATTGCATCGTAGTTAGGTTGTGAATCTAAGAGATATAACTCATCAAGCTAAATAGGAGGCTGATGCAGTTGTGAAGCATTCCCTCTCTTTGCTTCGCCTTCATTTCTTTGTACTGAACATGCCCCTTACTTGGTAGGACTTTAGACCTCCCTAACTTTGCTTTGTGTTTTCTTTTGCCTTCCTTTTTTTTAATATAAAAAAAAGACTTTAGGTTAATATTAATATAAAAATTTCTCTTGATTCATTAATGAGATTTAATTTATTTTTCTATTTTTTATATATTTTCAGTCTACTTTCATGGAAGCATTGATTCAAACGCAGTCTCATTTTCAAGTTTTCCTAATCGTTAACATTAACTCCATCCAGCTATCATTCTCCATTTGCTGTACTTTTCCATACCTTTTTAATTTTCTTGATTAATGAAATTTAATTTATTTTTCTATTTTTCATGTATTTTTAGTCTATTTTCATGGAGCATTGATTCAAGAGCAATCTCATTTTTAAAGTTCCTTGATCGTTAGCATTAACTTCATCTAACTATCTTTCTGTATGCACTATATTCTCTCATGCCTTTTCAATTTTCTTGATAAATGAGATTTAATTTTTTTTATTTTCTATGTATTTTTCTAATTTGTTATGCTCAATATCAATCAACTTTCATCAATTATCATCCATAAACATTATCTGTAGAAAGAAAAAAAAGAAATTTAAGTTTGATTTAAATCATCAATTTTTATCTCGTGATCTTGGCTCTTCAAGTTGTGGATATTTCATCATATATTCCGTGCTAACAAGATAATGAGATGACTACTTATCGTAGAGGTATCTTTTTTGTAGCCTTTTGTTTTGCACATCAAAGAAGAATAGAAACCAAAAAATATAAAAGAATAGAATACAATTAAAAAAAGATATCCCTTTAAATTCTTTCTTATATTCATATTTATATAACATTTATGTCATGATTCATAAACTAGTGTTTAATTTTTTTACGTACTCAAAAATGAGGGATTATTGAAAATTCTAAAGAAGTATATTTTTTTTGCCAATATTCTCTAAACACTTTAAGAATAGGTATTTTTTTAAACTGGTTTTTCATTATAGGCACTAAAAATGAAGATAGGATATATACAAAGAAAGTATTCAACAAAAAAAAAGATTGAATAGTGAAACTCTTAAAAATTTAACCATTTTAAATGTGTCGACATTAATCATATTAATGATATTTATTCCACAGGAAATTGTCTAATTAAATTAAAAAGGCGTAATAGCGTAATATCACCCGGGACGGGTAAGGTATGGAGGGCCGTGATGCGGGCAACACTCAAAGGGATGTCAGTTTCATTGCCCACGATCAAACGTCCGAATCAATTCTCGGCATGGTTCCCTCCTACAATACTCTTCTTCATTTACAGCAACAAAATTCAATCGAAGGTCGTCAACCCAATGGCAAATTGCCTAACCCGACAACACATGAACCAACAAGTTATCAATTTGTATTCTGTCACACAGTCCTCGAACACTAATGAAGAAGTTAGAAGCCAAATATATGATCTATACTGTATTGAAATCAGAACCAAGACAAGCACACAAGCTCGATTGGATACACTGACTTTCTGCTTCCAAATGCATGGAGCTTTAACATTTTTACTAAGTAGCGCCTTCATATGCCATTCTCAGATTAATTCAATTCCCGCATGCAAGAGAAGAAATGCAGCGCAGCCAATCGAGGATTTGACTTGAAGAAACATGGGAACTCACCCTCATTATCTCGGTAAAGTTATCAGAATACAATTTACAAACATCAAACTGATATTGACTGCAGCATTGGAAAACTTGTCTGGACATGGATAGAAAAATGCACAAAGCTTTGAAAACGGAAATAAATGGAAATTACACTTCTGTATTAACAACAATGACTCCTGTGAGGTTTTCCTTCGGAGTCCAGAGTGGGAAAAAACCTGGCTGTAACGAGGGAAACCTCACGTCCATTGGCTGGTCTACAACTGAGCGGATTATGCCATCACATTTCATTCGTGCAAGTTGTAGTTGAATGGCCCCATTTTCAGGTCTCTGTGATCAGTCATGTCTGAGCACTTTTTTTTTTTGGTATTCAATTGTTCATAGCAGACAATTGTTTCTGGAAAAACTCCACAACTAGCAAGTCGCAAAGCAATCTATCCCCAGTCCCCAAGCTATGAATTAAAACTGCCTTTCTAACAAGGTTAGCCGATCAAGTCTCGGAACAAGTTGGGGTTCTGACTTGATGGAGTAACGCCCATCTGCCTCACTAACGCATCCTTCTCCAAAGAATCTGTAGGGTTTGAGCCCTTTCCATGTTGTAATGAGGACGCCACAACTGTTTCTCCAGGAGTAGCTCTGACCTCAACATTTGACCACTCAGATAGGAGATTTACATCAGCAACACTCACAGGAAAAGAATAGCCACCACTGTCACTCTGTCCACTTGTAGTTGTCTCCTCATAGATTGACATAATATCAGGGGGTTTTGAAGCAGCATCTGCACTGCAACTAGTTGAGCTTAGGCTCAGGTCAGTAAGTCCTTCCAATTGCTTGAATGGGTCCACATAGGGAGGAGCAGTAGTGACAGTTGGTTCACCCAGGTCAAGCAAATCAGGAGTAGGAGGAGCCTGATCGGCTGCAGCTTTTGATTCCTGAGATCTTTCTGCAGCATTACGCGCCTTTGGAACCTTTTGGCTGGCTGATGGTCTTTTCTCAGGTTTTGTTGAACCACCAAATAATGAGGCAGCAAGCTTCTGTTTTTCTGGAGATATTTCAACCTGTGTCTTCCTCAAATCATAATTATCATGTGTTTTTGAGTTTCCAGCACTTGCACCATCCACCTGTTTCACCCCATTCAAAGCTACCTGGGAACTAGAATCAGACATGGATGATATTGAAGATGAAGTTGGCCTACCCCACTTCCTCTGAACACCATCAAGACGTAGCTTAAGTTCTGATTGTCCTGCCTCTGACGCTGATGCCCCTGATGGAATCTGGTGGGTCTCCCTAGAATACAATACCTCAGGAACTGGAACAAGGTTAGTTGAAGCTGCAAGGGAAACTGGAGTAACTGTTGATGGCATTGTAGGTTTTGTAAGTTCATATGCCTCAAATCTCAGAGCATGCTGTGAAGATACATTCTGTTCTTGGCATTTGAAGTTGCCCATGTTCCCCATTCCAGAGCGCACATCCTCAGGAATATAGGGCTGAGCCCCCCTTTCTAGAGACTGCTGGACATATATATTGAGAAATGAAAGGTTCTTGTCAACCTGTGTTGAAGATTCAGCATGTCAATAACTTTGATCAGAAAAACAGGAGCGTTAACATGGTAATATATATTGTCATCAAGCACGCTAGAATTAGTCTTTTTAGTTAAAAGGAGGATATAAGTATGCCTATATTAAAGTTTTAAGTTTTAACAAAAACAGGAGCTAAAAATAACAAAGACAACAAGCACAATGCACAATGTACCTATAAAATAACATAATAAATGATTTGATGGCAGTCTATTTAGCCAAATCAGGTTTCATCCAGTCTTTCATCTCAAAGATCAAGATAACCAAGGAACTCTTATTTCAGGTTACCATCTCAACTAAACAGGCATTGTGATTTGCCTATGAGCCAATTGACACCAAACAGGGGCAGTCTTGCCCTTATCCTTGATAATTGTACTTTAGACGAATAAGGCATCGCCTATGGTAACTAGTGTCTATTCACCAAGTATTAAGGGAATTCTCCCATACAGGTTTATATGAATATTTGTTTTGATACTGCCCCTTAAGTCTTGGAGGAATATGAAAGCTTACTTATCATGAAACACAACTGATTCAGGATGCTTTCCCTTACCACATCTTTTTCTTGCTCCAAACCCAGAAAGTGTTCAAAGTAAAATCAATAGATATGGATAAAAAAAATTATATATTAGACTGATACAAGACTCTAGGCTTAAAACCTTAATGTCTTCACAGCTTGAATCTCGTGGCATTATTGTTTCAATAGCATGTGCTTCCAAAAGAACAAAAGCTTGCAATTCATAGGCACGTTGCTGTAGATCTGTAGAATGGGACACTAGTAATTCTTCAACAAAAGATTGGCACTGCAAGAAGACACAAAAGAGCAACTTATTATTATTGTATCAATCAAATTTCAGCACATAGTTTTCCTATCATAAATATTATGGTTCATTAACAACTTATATATGTGGACAATAACATTTTAAACTAGCCAAGCAATTCATGCTTTGTGAGCATTAGGTTGATGGTCTCACTAGCTTCAATTCATCACCAACGGAGGAAAATCTAGGAAATTGATATTCATAAAGATATATAGCCTGAATTAATTCAGGTGGGTGGGTGGGTGAGAAGTAACAATTGTTTTAAGGCCTGAGAATATTGCAGGTCTTGTTGAAGAAATTGCAGGTCAACCCAAACAGATAGAGCAGCACGCTCTTGAGTTAACGAACCAGCTTGACAAAAAGGTAGATCGCTTAGAAGAACTCATCGGACAGCTCCGTTCGTGGGTAAATTCATGAGCAGTCATCTTGATCGAGCCTTGAAGGAAACTGAAAAGGTTGACGCCCCAGCAGTAGGTCTTGGAGGAACTAGCGGAAATTCAGTACAAATTCGGCAGAACAATACGATCATTCAGCTACTGTTGCAGCAAGCTGAGGATATTGCCGAATTAAAAGCTGAGTTAAAGCTACTCAAACAGAAGATCTTCACACAAGGAGAATCCTCAGGATCATCACCTACACCTATTCCAGAGCAAATAATCGACGAGCTTTCCAAGAAGCTTGAAGGCTTTTCGATCGGAACAAAGAAGATCGGCGCAGGAGAAAGAGGTCAACTAAGGGTCTTTAAGGATCCTTACGTCATTTTAAAGGAGGAACAGGAGAAACTCAAGCGCAGGGAACAATGAGTCTCCAAGGTTCTACCTCAGGACCTCCGGTCACTACTCATACGACTACAAGAACGCCAGGCAGTGAACCTGCGGAAGATCAGATCCGCAATTACCAAAGAGCACAGAGAACCAAATACAATATGGCTCGAGGATTACAAAGAGCTAGAAGTGCCCTCACATCTCGCCCATACGTCCATTCTCTTGAACAGGAGATTGACCTTCAGGCTGATTTAAGTCAGTCTATGCGGGAGAGAGCAAGGATTGTGCCAGCAGAGGTCCTATATCATTCCAGACGGGATGATCCACATCACAGGGTATATTCGCATCGGTCAGAAGAAGCAATCTTGTGTACTGATGATCAGCAGATTGACAGACCCTTCATACAACCTAGCAGTATGGAAGTATTGCTACGCTCAGGATACAGCTTTATACATGTTGGTATCCTACAAGTCCGAATACAGATACTGCACAGGCGAGAGCAAGGAACAACTGCTCTCATTATTTTCAGGGATAATCGATGGGAAGGCGATCAGGCTATCTTTTCCACTATGGAGACATGCAACCAGCACTACAGGAAAGGAGGACGGCTCAGGCCCAATATGGAGCAAAGCTTATGGAATTGGAAGCCTTCTTGGATGCGGCCCTTGATGACGTACCCATGGAATACACTTGGTCACAGCTGTCCACCAAGCTTGCTGAGATCGAATCCATCTATAAGGATTTGATCTGATCATCTGATCTGATCACATGCGCATCCACCGAAAGTCGTCTACTTTTGCAGCGGAGCATGCTGGACCCTTAATAATGGTCATCTGTTTGTCGGCCACTTGTTTTAGTGTGTGTCTTTTTATTTGTCGTGTAGTTTGCCGACTGTCCTTTATTACTGTTGAGTCACTGTAAAGGTATCAATTAGTGCATCAATCATGAATGACGATGGGGCCCAAAGTGTACCCGGTTCATGAAAGCTGATCACTCTTGTGCCTATATAACTTCCTTAGTGTAGGAGAACAAGACATCTCTCAATCTCATCATCTCACAACACCACAACACTCTCTTCTAGTTCTCCAGAGGCATTCCCTCTCACTAAGTTGTTAGGTACTGTTCTTATGCTTGTACTCCTCTGTTTGAATCAATAAATTTGTGTACTATTCAGTTCATATGTTCTTTGTTTTTCTGTTCATGTCATACTAATTGCAAAACCGTCAGAACCTCCCCCTTGCTCTGATACCAAGGGGGGGTTCTAACGTTTTTGTCAGTCTTTCAATATCTCGATAAGCCTGTTCCTGTTCAAGTGTCGATCCTGTTACAGGGTCCTCAAGAGTAAAAACTCTTCTTATCTGCGACAGGATACTTTGCTGAGAAACTCTGAAGGTCCAGATGGCACTCAAAATATCCTGTCGCAGATAAGAAGAGTTTTTACTCTTGAGGACCCTGTAACAGGATCGACACTTGAACAGGAACAGGCTTATCGGGATATTGAAAGACTGACTTGTCCCGATATTAAACATGTAATTCCTTTCTTAAGGGATTACCTCCGACTTGCTGCAAAAACTGGGCGCATGTTTATCAACTCTGAATTATCTGAAAAAATTTGGTTCAAACTCCCTGGAGATCTTGGTAAGGAGATAAGAGAAAAGTACCAGTCGCGATATCCCGGGAATCAAATTGGAGTAGCCCCCAGAATATTCTTTACATACAACTACCTGAAGGAAAAATGTAAAGAAGCAGCATTCCAACGAAGTCTAAAGTCTCTGGATTTCTGCAAAGACATACCCATTCCTGGTTACTATCAGGATAAACCAAAATACGGGTACCGGAGAAGTAAGACTTACAAAGGCAAGCCTCATAGTACGCACGTCCGTATTGAAAAACATAAACATTTGAAGACTCGAAAGTGCAAATGCTTTGTTTGTGGAGAAGAAGGACATTTTGCAAGAGATTGTCCTAATGATAGAAAAAGCGCCAAAAGAGTCATGATGTTTGACGGACTGCAAATACCTGAAGAATATGAAGTTGTCTCGGTTGATGAAGGCGACCCTGAAAGTGATGACATTTTCAGTGCATCTGAGAATGAAGACTCATATGATCTTGATAAGGAAGAATTTATCTGCATGATCAGAGAGTCTGACAACACTTACTGGATGGGTAAAGGAGGAGGATATCAACCAATGGTTAGAGTCACCGCACATCAGTACCATTGTGCTCATACATGGGAAATCAATCAAGATATAGGTGACCATGACAACCATCACTGCACTTTCTGCAAGATACGAGCCTTGAAAAGAGCCAGAGCATATTGCCCAAAGTGTGGATTAATTTGCTGTAATGTATGCTCTAACCACTACATTGGCTTTTGGGTTCCAGTTGCTGTAACAGAGCCTAAGGTACCACCTGTAACTTCACACAAGCAAAATCTGCTTCAACAACAGGCAGATTATATTATTTGGGCTGATGCTGAAATAGAAAGACTGAAGAAACAACTGGAACAATCTGAGAAGAGATACCAAGATCTCTTGGAAGAGCATCTGGCAAAAGAAGCAGAAAGACAAGCAGTGACAGACGAACAAATAGCTAGGCGAGAAGGAAAACAAACTTGGCAGCCAGAAAAAGAACCCAGGAGAAGGACTACAAGTTTAACCATCAATGAACCTGTAGAACCTTATGAAAAGATACTGGCTTTTGGAGACTCGCAAGTTATTTGCAGTGGAGAAACAAGTAGTTCTGCTCGAAGAAGAAATAATCTCTATAATATGGAGGTTGTACTACTTGTTGATGGAGAACAAGAGGTAAAGTTGAAGGCCATTCTCGACACAGGAGCAACAAGCTGCTGCATTGATGAAACAGCTGTAGATAAAAGACTCCTGGAGCCTAATACATTTGCCACAGAATTTTGGAGTGTAAATTCAAAGATCGTGGTAGACAAGAAACTTCGAAATGGCAGAATGAAGATAGGGGAAAATGTCTTCAGAATCCCCTATACGGTGGCATTTCCAATGAAGATCGATATACAGATGATTATTGGTTGTAACTTCATTCGGAACATGCAAGGAGGATTAAGGATAGAGGGTAACACTTTAACCTTCTATAAATACCTCACGCAAATACAGACTTCGCTCATAGCTCCAGTATGGGAAAAGGATGAAGACGATGATTGCATTCTAATGCAACATCAGGAGATCAACGCTCTGGATGTAGGTGAGCCTTATCCAGATTTTAAAAGAAAATTTGGAGGAATCATGGAGCAGCTGAAGGAGCAAGGAGTCATAGGTGAAAATCCAATGAAGCTTTGGGAAAAGAATAAAGTCCTATGCTACCTGGATATCAAAAATCCTGACCTGACTATTGAAGATAAACCCTTAACAGGGATTCCAGAAAAACAGGTCGAGTCCTACAGGAAGCACATCAAGAGCTTATTGGAAATTGGAGTTATCAGACCAAGTAAGAGCAGGCATAGAACAAATGCCTTCCTCGTCAATTCTGGAACAACGGTGGACCCACTAACTGGAGAAGAAAAGAAGGGAAAAGAAAGGCTAGTATTCAATTATAAAAGGTTGAATGATCTCACCCACAAAGATCAATATAGCCTACCAGGTATTCAGAACATCATTGCTAAGGTTGGAAGAGCAAAAATCTACTCAAAGTTTGACCTAAAGAGTGGATTTCATCAAGTCGCAATGCATCCTGAATCAATACCCTGGACAGCCTTCTGGGTTCCCGATGGACTGTTTGAATGGCTTGTAATGCCATTTGGATTGAAAAATGCTCCTTCCATATTTCAGCGTAAAATGGATGAATGTTTCAAAGGAACAGAGGATTTTATAGCAGTCTACATTGACGACATCCTGGTATTCTCTGAAACACCAGAGGAGCATGAGCAACACTTGCGGAAGATGTTGGAAATTGCAAGAAAGCATGGACTGGTTCTTAGTCCAAGCAAAATGAAGATTGCTCAGCGGAGGATTGACTTTCTAGGTACAACCCTTGATCAAGGAAAGGTACAATTGCAGCCGCATATTATTAAAAATATCTGCAATTTTGATGAAGAAACTTTACAGACGAAGAAAGGATTAAGAGCCTGGTTAGGATTGCTGAACTACGCCAGACCTTACATGAAGGGGATCGGTACTAAGTTGAGTCCTCTCTATGCGAAAGTGAGTCCTACTGGGGAAATGCGTTTTAATCGACAGGATTTCCAGT